ATGGTCCAATGTATTTACATACGTCCAATGTATTTACACACGTCCAATGTATTAACATAGTCCAATGTATTTACATACGTCCTATGTATTTACATAGTCCAATGTATTAACATAGTCCAATGTATTTACATACGTCCTATGTATTTACATACGTCCTATGTATTTACATACGTCCAATGTATTTAGATACGTCCAGTGTATTTAGATACGTCCTATGTATTTACATAGTCCAATGTATTTAAATACGTCCTATGTATTTAGATACGTCCAATGTATTTAGATACGTCCAATGTATTAACATACGTCCAATGTATTTACATACGTCTAATGTATTTACATAGTCCAATGTATTTACACACGTCCAATGTATTTACATAGTCCAATTTATTTAAATACGTACTATGTATTTAGATACGTCCAATGTATTTACATACGTCCAATGTATTTAGATACGTCCAATGTTTTTACATACGTCCAATCTATTTACATAGTCCAATGTATTAACATACGTCCAATGTGTTTACATAGTCCAATATATTTACATAGTCCAATGTATTTACATACGTCCTGTGTATTTACATAGTCCAATGTATTAATATACGTCCAATGTGTTTACATAGTCCATTATATTTACATAGTCTTAATCATACTAGTTTCAAATAATTGTTTTTGGATGAAATTTTAAATAATTTGTTTCAAACTGCGCATAAATTTAGGGATCTGTCTGAGAGTAGAAATCATTCCTGGGCCAGCAGGGAGAAATGGGGTATATGTTGAAAAAAAGCTACTCCCTACATACAGGTTAACCGAAAAGGAATCCTATAATGTGCAGAGGTAAAAGACCCAAAAAGGGAAGTAGGGATAAAAGGTTTAAACTTGAACTGTGGCATATAACTGAATTACCGCATTTGACATATTTAAAAAAATCTTTAGAACTCAAAAGAATGACAGACATAGCCCCTTGGACTTGTATTTTTTCAAGTTTTCAAAGTTTTCGAATTGTTGTCCGAGTTATTTTCGACGATTTTTTTAGTTCATTTATACATATTAATCGGATGGGTTACCTTACCAACAAGGAAACACATGGTAGGAATTAAATCAATAATTACCAAAGATATAAGATTAGATCCGTGTACATGCGCTAGGCGCCGGACGTATTTTTAAGACCTCCACAGATATATATGTATATAACAAACCCATTGATATCTGTGTTATCTTATCACAACCTAAAGTAATTGGCTCTTATCGCCAAAACATTTTGGCAATGGTGTTGCGAGTTCACGCCAGTAATATAATCCTATTTCCGGCCTGTCTGTCCTGGTGTAAACAAGACTCTATTTGTAACAACCTAATGACTGCCGTTTTACTCTGATTTGCTTCCATTTGTTTGTGAATCAATTTGCGCCCTGTGTCGAGGATAACCTCTTATCTGTGGCCTACGCGTTGTCTTGTGTTTTGTTTGCATATTCCACCTCGAGTGTTATCCTGTACCAAGACGGTAAACATTGCAAAACCACCACCTCCTCCTATCCATCTTGTTAAGTACTCATAAAACTGGTTCATGCTCATGCTCAAGCATTGATTTAGTGCTCACACCAACCTTTTTTGTAACTCAATTAAATCAAGTCAAACGATCAAAAAGGCAAATGTAAATATTGAAAACAGTACTTGGCTTTGTCTTTTCAAATTGTGTTTCCAAATCAATGACAAAATAATACTTGATTATAAATTTCTAACCGGATCAAGAAATAAGACTTGAGCACAAAATCCCTGCTTGAGCATGAGAACGGTTTAATGAATACGGGCCCAGGTTGAATTGAATCCTGGCTCTAGAGCACCAAGAAGGCCATGCGGAACTTGTGGGAAAGGGATCACATCATTCGGAACACCTCGCCCCGATTCCAGTTCCTTCCAACGACGTTAGATGAACGTATCGGCCGAGAAGTTCCGAGTGGGATCACATGGCAACACTAAGCTCTTGCTTGTGATACCTGCAATGTTTGGTACCACATAGACTCCCACGGTGGTATGACGTCATCAGACAGTATCCTTCTGAGTGATAGTAACAGTTCTTGGCACTGTATCAAATTTGGCACTCCAAATTACTCAAGTTCTCTAATACAACCCAACCTTTCCACTGAGGAACTTATCTTGCAAAACTCTTTTTCTTCTCTAACTGAAACTCAAAACCCTGGTCTTCCCCCTCATTAACTCCTTAGCAAAGCCGTATGCTACTCCGAAACAAACAAAGGCATGCAAAGGTCGTTTAAGTCAGAAACTCAAAGTTATCAATATAAATTTTAGGTCCATTAATTTCTTTAAAATCCTGAAGTAGATAATTGGTTGACTCTATCAAATGAGATATCATTATTGGAAAAAATCTGGCTATCACCTACAATATCATCATATGAATGTTTTTATTTATATCTATACAATGGTTATCGAAAAGAGTCTGCCAAATGAAAAAAGACTAAGATATTGTGATGTCCTCCTTGTCATAAGCAATCTCCTATAGCCATCAGCTGTTGTTGAATTACAATGTGACGCGGAGATGATATGCGCAGACATCAGTTTCCAAAACTCAATGAAATACCATACATGTTCTTTCTTTAGTCAACCAAACTATCACGATTAATATTTAATGCCCTTATTAGACTCCCCTCTCAAACGGATACACTCAAATCCTTAATCCATCATTATAGTTGAAGGAGACTTTAACTAAAGCCACATTTACTGCAGCATCCCTTGCGTCATTCCAGGAAATGAGCAATGACCATACCTTCCCACAACTAGTGTAACAGCCCATTAGACTGGACAAAACCCTAGACCTGCTACTCAGAAACATTGTAAATAGCGTTAAAACCCTTCGCCCGATAACAAATGCTTACCATAGGTTTTTCAAAAAAAATATCACTGTCATTGAAAAGAGTAAAATTAAACAAAACAAACTTGGGACACATAAGAAATGACCTATCTACCATTCACCAGGAAATGATCGATATGTACCAAGAGAGTAACATCTATGAGCTCAGGTCAATCGTCAAATGCAACCTTATTAAATCTGTTTCAGACAACATTCCTCAGAAATTATCAAGATACTTTAAATCCTCACCTTGGATTACGCACTCATTCACCCACATAAGTGACTGATAAAGAATGGAAAGCAAGCTTATAAAATAAAAAATAGAAAAATAAATGTTCAGTAACGAGCCAAGACAACCTTTTTAAAAAAGAATTCTCGTAGATAAAGTTACAAAATACTGATGGCCCGAATATTCCTTCCTACGCCGAGACAGACAACGCTTTAGCGACACACGGACAAAGGCGATTACAGCGAGCCTTCACTCCCACTACAGATAATAATATAGCAGAGAAAGTCCCTAGTCCATTCTGCACTATGCCTAAATATCTATATCTTAAAATGACATACTAAAGTTACTTGATATTACAAAGCCACGTCAGATAAGTTGACCCGTAGATATCCATGGGAAAATACTCCTATTCTAACTCTTATCTAACGCAAATCTCTTTCTTCAGGAATTGTCCGTCAGGACTTGAGTCTAGACAAAGTCTGTCCTGTCTACAAACATGCTTGTGGTGACAAACATGCCCATCAATTTAAGCCCAATCTTTGTCACAAAAATATGCTTCAGAATCATTGAACATGACATTGTGATCAGCAGTAACATTATGCAGCACCTTGATTTAAACAACATTCTGTATGACCTCCCACACGACTTCCGTTCTTTTCGCTCCTGTGAAACAATTTATTTCCTTCATTCAAGACCTGGCTATCAATCAAAGTAAAAGTAATCAAACTAATATGCTCATCATGGATTGTGATAAAGCATTCGATACATGAATACCCCACAAACAAATTAGATTACTATGACATCAAAAGAACCGCCCTTAATTGGATATCAACTTTTCTCTCAAACAAACCTCAATCTGTACTCCTGGAAGGAACAAGTTCAAAATCTGTCGCTGTCAACTCTGCTATCCCCAAGCTAACAGTCCTGTTCCCTATTCTCTCCCTGACCTACCAAAGTATCTCAAATACAGCACTCTCCGCCTTTTTGCTGATAATAGCATTATCTATGAAGTAAAAAGCCCTTAAGCAACTCGGTTAAACCTCAAATCTAATTTTGAAGCAACAGCAAAATGGGAATCTGATTGGTTGATGGCTTTCTATCCTAATAAGTTCTCTATCCTTACCGTCTCTGACAAACAGAAGTTCCAACATCACCATATACTTTACATAATCATACTCTCAAAAAAACACTTGTTCAGCAAAATACCTCAGAGTAACTGTTAAAAAAATCTTAAATGGAATTAAAACATGCATTCTCTCCTCTAAAGCAAAACAGGCCGTAAGATTTCTACGCCAAAACCTGAAAATAAACTCGCATGCATATAAAACTCTGGTACGACCAAACTCCTAATACAGCTGCACTGTGTGGGATCCATATCAAAGTTACCATATGCAACAACTTGAAAAGGTCCAGAGAAGAGCAGTTAGATTTGTGTGAAGTCGATACCACAACACCAGCTCTGAAGTAGACATGATGCAATGCTTACATTGGCAAACTCTTCAGATTCGTAGGACATATTTCAGATAAGTTCTTTTCTATACAATTATTCATCAACTAGTTACTGTCCCATCTGATATCCGCGTTCACACCTCCTCAGTCACCCACTCTATTCAAAATCCGTTCTCTTACAGACAGTTACAGGCAGCTGAAGACTCTTATAAATACTCATTTTTCTAATGCGCAGTTGTCTCCGCCTATACTGTGAATGAATGTCGATCATCCAACGAAGTAGGTACTCTCCAAACCTTGCTTTAACCTCTTTTATTTGTATACATATTTTTAACCAATGATATTTTAAACAATGATAATAAAAGTTCTGTGACACCACTTTTAACCAGCGTATGACATTAAAACTTCAATTTTGAAGACTTGTCGTTATCAAGAAGAAGAAAAAAAATGACATAAGACTGACTTTGCAATTTCGTGTATTTCACGATTAATACATAACAACTATGTTGCCATCGTGGTTAAGTTTCCCGATTGGCCGTTGTCGTCGCTACATCTGTCGAAGTCAATTCTTTTGTACTTGGTTGCATCAATGAACGTTATTCCGTTATCGGGTAAACCTTCCAAAATGGTTTTCCTTCTGCGAACGGTGAAACCTGCTTTCTTTCGATGAATTATCCATGACATTTCTGAAACAGAAAACACGTTATGATTACGTCATACGGTTTCCTTTCTAAAATGTTAAAGAAGATTCCTTTCTGAAACAAATCCCGTGACGATTACGTCATAGGTTTTCCTTTCTGAAACAAATTACGTTATAAAACAACAAAGGGTTAGAAAACACGTTATGATTACGTCATAGGGGTTTTCTTTCTGCAATAGGAAACACGTAATGAAAACGTCATACGGGTTTCCTTCCTGTAATAGGAAACACGTTATGATTACGTCATACCAGTTTCCTATTGTTTTCGTTTAGATGAACATTACAGGTAATATATTTACATTGTGCATAGGCATCAACAAAAGCAATTTGTGATTTTGTATCCAGTATAACTTAATACTTTTAATAACAAGAGACCCAATAGGCCTGAATCGCTCACCTGGTTTTAATCTCACACTTGTAATCATAAAAGTGGACTAAAATACAACTACAGGCAGAATATCAGTGTTTGATTCATAAAAACTTATTAAAAGATTTAAACATATGACGCCTGTGACCTTGAATGTCGAACAAGGACATTAGGTTGAACAGAGTTTATAGTCTTCAAACCCAGCATGCTTCTTGCAAAATATCATTACCCTGGAGCTTTTGGTTATACAGAACAAATCATTTAGGGATTTAAACAGATATTGACAACTGTAACCTTGAGTATGGGCGAAGGTCACTCATTTGAACAAACTTGGTAGCCCTTTATACCAGCATGTTAATGGCCAAATATCATCGACCTTGGCCTATTGCTTATTAAAAAGAAGTCATTCAAAGGTTTTAAACATATTTGACCCATGTGACCTTGAAAATAGGTGAAGGTCATTTATTTGAACAAACTTGGGTGCCCTTCATTCCAGTTTGCTTCTGGCCAAATATCGTCACCGTAGGTCTTTTGGTTATTAAGAAGAATTTGTTTAAAGTAAAATATTGACGCCGGTCGACGGACGGACGACAGACGGACGACGGACGGACGGACGGACGACGGACGCCGCACCACGGCATAAGCTCACTCGGCCCTTCATGCCGGGTGAGCTAAATATGTAGGGTTTCTGTGTAAATCTATGTGGTTCTAAAGAAAATGTCTGTGCAGTATCATCTATGTGAATTGCTACACTAATTCATTTCGTAATATGTTTTTAAAATTTTTGATGCAATTTTAAATGCCCATTCAAGTTAGTAAAAGTAATAGCTTAATTTTTAGTTGATGATTGTAAAATGCGTTTCATCATTCATACGTCTTAAGCGTCGTTTTTGGGTCAAAGTTTAAAAAAAAAAGCATTTATATTCAAATCAGTCTTTCATTTTTCAGAAACAGGTAAAAAGGCGAGAGAATACAAAACCCTAATTCGAACACAAAGTCGATAAAATTAAGGCAAAATATGAAAAAAGCAGAGGTGTTCAGTAACTGTATGCACTGGATACCGATTTCCCTGCATGACAATAGCTTTGATAAATCCTTTCTGCAAAAACCATTCCTCGGGGGACTTATAATAGAAATGATATTAGAAAAGCACACAAAACAATGGAAACAATCAACCAATGGATATCATGCTTTATTTTGGTATGAATTATTGTTTAATTTCATTCACACGAAAGAAATAAAAACTAGACTAAAATTGAGAAATGCACTACATTCGTGAACAACGAACCGGAAGCATTAACTGTGGTCTGAGGTCGAACCGGAAGCATTAACTGTGGTCTGAGGTCGAACCGGAAGCATTAACTGTGGCCTGAGGTCGAACCGGAAGCATTAACTGTGGTCTGAGGTCGAACCGGTAGCATTAACTGTGGCCTGGGGTCGAACCGTAAGTATTTACTGTGGTCTGAGGCCACCTAGTCAACGGACGTGTCCTAGGTCAACTTTACTACAGTTATATCCAAGACGAAGTTAAGGGGAGATAACTGTACATACGATAAAAAAAACTCAGTGCAATTGGTCTTAGATCCTTAAATGGCTGTTTAAAGTTGGCTTAAATGGACCTTGATTATAATTACAGGCTATCGGTACGTACCAACTGGATACAATCCAATTCCTAAGTCAGTACACGAGTAGACGATTGCGTATCTAACGTAGTCGGTCTTTAACACGTAGAAAGTTGTCGACGGCAAAGGTAACCCTGTTCAAAAGTAAAATAAAATCATTACATATTATCTTCTAGAGAGATTCCTACCACCTACCGGTAGCATGATAAATTACCGCTAAATGATCGCTCGCACATGGATAAACTCTCGAGTCCACCTAAGGTGGCTTCTCGATTGTATCCATGTGCTCGCGATGAGAAAATTGTTCTCACGACAAACCCTGAAAACACTGTGTGATAATCTATTATAACATATTAATTTTGTGACAGAAAAATATGTTATCATTATAATTCTGCTCTTTTTCACTTAGTTTCTCGTGTTTTATGCTATTTAACATTTTTTAGACTACATACTATTTTACAGGGTTTCTAATATCATTTAAACAAGACTTCTGTGAAATTACATGTCACGCTAGTCCTCGCTTTGACCAACACCAATGTATTGAGAATATATATAAAATAAACGTTTAAATTTGAAGTAAAAAATAATAAATAATTGACAGCTTTTTATTCAAATAAATAACAAAAAGTCCTTTTTCTCAATTTCGATATTGAAAAAATTAATCTTGTAATGAGATGCTCTACTAATAAAGCATCTTTGATCAAAGAATTGTTTCATTATTTTACTTGTACCTTTTGAGAAAATACCTCGCTAAAGAACAACTTATTATCATCTATATACTACTTCATACCACCCACCGGTAGCCAAATAATTCCATTATCATGTTTTGCCATTTTGAGAATACTCAAGAATAAGTTGAGAACGACCTGAGAGGAACTTGAGAATGCATTTTCCAATTTGATAACGTGTTTTCTCAAACGAACGTCTGCTCGCGCCAGATGACGTCATGAATCGGAAAAGTATCCCCACACAGGTGATCCGTGTGAGACAATAGGTCGTCATCAACAATGCTGTGAGGGGGGCAACACCATTTGAGCGTGATTGTACATATGGAGAAGCTAATGACAATATCATTGTTTTAAAAATATTTGTCTACATAGTTTAAAAGTTCGTAGTATTCCTTCGCGCAAATCGTCTACTTGTCTACGTTATCATAGACCGAGGATTCGCGACCGATGACCATTGAGTCTAGATGTCATTTGAAAAATGTGGTGTTTACTTGACATTTCATGAATGGAGAAATGTATAAGGTAGTAGTACATTGATTATAAACAGTTATTCAGGGTTTGTCGTTTGAACAATTTTCTCACGTGGATAAAAACTCTAGTCCACCTGCGGTGGCTACTCGATTTCGTCCATGGGCTCGGGATGAGAAACTTATTCTAACGACAAACCCTGAAAACACATTATGATAACCTATTATTACAAATAAAGATGCTGAAAAGTAACTGGACCTTGATATCAATGACAAATTCAGCATCTGAGGTACTGAAGAGATTTAAAATTATTTAACATTAAGAGAAAACCAACATTGTCACTTGACCATTCAAACTAGCATCAACACAGCATCGGACTTTTGGAATACAATGTACTAACCAAAATGTATGTATTTGAGGACTTAATAGTTGTTTTATATGCAACATATAATACATAGATGAACATTCGTCACCGGACCACTAGGCCAGAAATGAAGGTCCTATGCAGTATCTGATGCATGGATTGCAACGAAGGAGCTAAGATGCAGCCATTGTCGAAATTTGGCTGGTCTTGCACTTGTGCTTTTGTTGAAACAGTGCTAAAAGCACAATCTTAACAAAGTTGAAGCCACCACCTTCGCGCCGTTTCCACCTGGAACATGACCGCTTTGTTCTGCCTTGGCGACATCCGTCGAGGCAAGAAAAAACAACTCATTACAAGAAGTATTCAACAGAATGTAACAGGCCTTAAGGTGATATGTTTATATCATTTCTTTATCAAGGATGCCTCCGTTTATATTAAAACTTAAAATTACTTTCAATTGGCTTTCATATTGCCTATGAATGCCATCTGAAAGCACTTCAATACTTAAAATTACCATTTTTGCAATAATCTATCAAAATAAAGCTTTGAGTTCCAATTAGTGTATGCATCGTGTTATGTTCAACAGCCATATGTTCATGTAGAATCAGTGGTATCAATCGTTACATTATTGATGACGTAACAAATCCGGTCATGGCATTAGTAGAATTATAAAATGGCAATGCCATACGATGGTATTTAATGCATTCTAAACAAACAAAAAACAAAGGTTACTTACATGGGATCATGCCGGTTCGAAAGTAGTTTGGGAAATCCGTACTTATGCGGTTAAAATTGCTGTCCATGGAAGTGGGAAGGAAATATCGTCCTAACCTGAAAATGTTTTACAAGCATTCATAATGACAAGGTGAATCCAGAAAAAAAGGAAATAAAAAACAGTCAGCACTCTGATAAAATGTGTTGAAATATGCTTAAGGAATAACCAGGATTATTTTGGAGGTGCCAAAAAACTATGCGATATGCATAAATCTGCGAAGCTGTTAAAGCAAAAAAAACAAAAAGAGGAAACAGTTTTTTTCTATATTTATCTTTTATCCCCAACACTAATCCTGATTATCCCTTATGATTTAATTTAAACAGCTAGTCAACATCTCCTTTAATTCATAGATAGTGAATATCAATTAACTTCTTATACAAACAAAAAATATTTTGCATAAAAAATAACATTGCGTAGTAATTTCATCGCTTAACAACCAATCAGAAGTTAGATTTACAAATACCGCGCCAAACAATATGGTTAACCACGTCATCACTTTTTAGTTCTTTGTTTTAAGGTTATACGATATAACCTGTGAAAGTTTTCCATCGGGGGAATAGCCAAAATTTAATATATATATATAGTTCTCCAATTTTCCGTTATAGCTTGCCTATCTCGACAATTCAATGCAACAAAGAACACCAAGACATCAAGCGTACATACACAGCTTCCTTCCCTTCGTCGCCAATGTCTGACTGCAGTTGCAGATTGAAAAATGGCAATCATGCCTTTGATATGAAAGTCTTGGCCTGTTTTTATAAAATTGTTCTAACGCTCAAATTCAGATTCTGTGCTAAAGCCATAGCTAGGACGAAATCAATTAACAGAAAATTGTCTATTTGGAAGTATTTTGAACGATAAAAGGCGATTATTATTTTCAATGTTTACATATTACGTTTTGATCGTGTCGCATAACTTAAGTGAGTTACAAGAAACTGGTTTAAAAACTCTGTGACCCAATGTTGACCACGTGCTTATACGTACTGAAATTTCCAAGCTGAGACAGCTGAGAAAGACCCGTTTCCAACTTCAGTAAACTTGATTTCAAAACATCGTGTAGTTTGGTCGTATATCGTCGAGCCCCATCCCGTTTCCAACCTCTCCACTTGATACCATTTCCCTGCAAACTGTGGAGAAGACAACCTTTACTTACTGTTTTTCGTAGCAGAATCGAGTCATTACGGTACATATATAACAACTTATTGTACATACGCTTACAGTAGCCGAATCGACATCGATTTGCGTGGAAACTCGTACATATTTTACACCTTTGTGTACATACCCTTCACTGGTCATTTGTCGGATGAAGGTGTTGAAGGAATACATACCGTACAAGTCATCGAAACGTCACAATAAACACTAAGTGGTTGAACTACATGATTCTTTTCACATTCAATACTTGCCAGCCTGAAGAAAATGTTAAGAAACAACAAAACACTAACCGTTGATTATATCATCGAGCCCGAGGAACTTTATAAATGCATTGCCCTTGTAATCCAAGGCAAACAAAGCATCATGTTTCTCTACCACAAGGGCAATATTTTGTATTAAACCGAAATACAACAGGTCAGGTTGACGTATCATTGTTGTCGTCTGCTTCAGTCACTCAGAACTCAGGTTTTGTGGCTCTTGTGTATTTGGAGAGTCTTTGAATAAGAGAAATTCGAGCGCGAAATGTCGACACAATGATCAAATATGATTGGCTTGGGAATATAATGAACAGAGAGTTTCGAAGAAAACAATGCAGGAAAGATTATAAATACAACATATTGCTGTACATGTCGCAGGACCCAAAAGAAATCAGAAATGTTCTAGAATTACCGTTTACAGTTACTACCGCGGCCAGGACTGGTTTCATTAAAGGGAACAGGGGCTAGAACACGACAGAAACAGGGTGAGATAGAGGGGATATTGGTAATGGAACGAGAACATGATGCCTATTAAGCGAGAATAGGACATTAGGGTCAAGAATACGACGACGAGACATGACAGGGAGAACATGGCCGCGATGAAGCGAATCGGGACAAATACTGCGAAGCAAGAGCAATTATGCGACGGCACTGCAACGTTTGGTTTGGTTTGTTTGTGTTTTACGTCCTATAAACAGCTATGGTCATTTAATAACTAGCCAGGTTTTGGTGATGGAGGAAATCCGGAGTTCCCGGGGAAAAAATACTGACTTACGACCAGTACCTGGCGACTGCCCCACGTAGGTCTCTAACCCGCGACCCAGTAGTGGAGGGCTAGTGGTAGCAGAGTGTCAGACGCTTTTACCACTTGGCCACCGCGGCACTGTAACGTAAGCAACATGACAAGGGAGTGAGAAATGGAGAAGGCAACATCCAGGAAGCGAAACTATGACATACTCACCTGCTTCAGGATAAACCAATACTTGCCTTTTGAAAAATGTGCTGAATATTAGTTCCCGACGATTTTCTTCAATATTTTAATATTCGAAAAGTGGTTTGATCGCTTTCAAACGAGAAGTCCTTCAATAAATATCACCAGTGAATGCAAACTCAAACGAAAAATCTAAAATATTAATAATCAGTTTACCATGTATATGCCAGTTATTATATAGCTATATGCTAAAAGTATGACATTCTTGACACTCCAGTGTACGCTCACTTACGCTCTCTGCACTCCTTGAATATGTCATGACAGTATCTAAAGCTCAGTGTGCGCCTCCGTATGAATTAGACAAGAATAGTAGTTTGATGATTCGAAATCAAAAGTATATCGACGTAGCATAACGGTAAACTGTCTGCCTTTGAAATCTGGTGTCGCTCCTCTGTAATTATTTTTTTTACCTGATGTCAATCATATTAGCTAGCAGCGCGCCTTCAGGTTTTCTATGGGATGCATCGACGATAAACGAATGATTGCTTTCGTAAGTTTTATGACACCTTCACCTTAAGTCGATTAACATTTAGTCGCACAAATGAACCAAGTTGAGTAGCCTCCTTGAGGCATGCAAACCATGGGGAAGAAATTTTGTTGTGTATCAAATAACACCGAGACATTTATGTCGTATCCTTCATCAGTTCAAAAAAGATGTTATATCATAACTACAACAGACGTATGCCGGTGACACGTTGAGACGACGAATATCACCTAATTTTGAGAACTGTATCCGGCGGTGCCTCGGAACTTCTAAATTTTGAATTAAGGAATGATGTCGTGAATAGTGCAAAACAGAGAAGGGTTATCAACCTTTTAAGCGACAATTAAAATACACTCTGCATTTCTTAGATGGATGAACTCAAATAGTACTAGTGTAGTCCACAAGCTAAATGTGTGTTTCTTGCAAGGAAATGAATCCAAACAATGCCCAATCGTTTAGGAAATAAAGGACAGAACATTGTATAATTCAGGACGGACAAACATAACTCATCCTGACTCTGTTGAAGGCGATGAGAATGGGACTTAAAAAAAACTACTTACCTTACTAGGGTCGAAATCGGCCCTGACTGGAACAAGTGGACAAGCGGCATGAAGGAGGGAAGCGGTCCCAAGAAGAAACAATACTTGAAGGTGGAGAGCCATCTTCACTACGTATGTCGTATCGGACACAAGAGAAGGACTTATATACACTCATACAGATTGTCCGTAGGCCAATGTATTAAGAGCTGCTGTTATTTCCATTGCGCATGACTCGAGAACATTTCATTCGCCATATTTCTCAATACGTAATAAAAGCGTAATTAAGTTTACGCTCTCAAACCTCGCTAATTGACGGGTATGATCTGTCAGTGAATATTGATGAGGCATATCTACAAAACTGAAAGCTTAAGCATTGTAGTCTGATAGATAGTTAGTATCTCATCTTTTAAGAAACAACATCTATATTTATCTATTATCTAATATTGACACGCGAATAAGAAAGTGCCGGGTACGTGCATGGTGACTCACCCAATCTCGCCATAACATCTTCCTTGTTTTGAACAATAGAAAAGCTTTATGAACTTATTCCATTTACAATGATATAAAACGATGTAGTTAAACGCATGTTAAATTGTGAAAAAAAACATGCTGCTTGAAGAAATGGGGAAATGTTCTGTTTCTATTCGGTGACGAAATTTTGCATTCATAAGCGAATTATTTCGTTTATTTTAATATATTAAAGGACTATGAAATTTGATATTGCGCATTTACCATATGTCAGGGAAAATAATATTTGGTATAGATGAAGGCTGGTTAAATACCTTTATAAGTGTTATTAAACATCCATTTAAGGTAGAGAGTCCTAGAGTTCTGTGTTGTATCTCTGTTGTATTATTACAACGCCCCTTTTGCCACAAGAGAAAGCTTTTGTATGGTGTCCGATCTCCTAAACCCCTGACTATAAGGCAGGGACCTAAGCCACGTCGCTGCCAGTCATAAAAGGATTGAGAGGAGCATTTTTTAAATGATTTAACTCAATAAAAAGCTACAATTGGTTGTGACTGAACATAATCGAAATAACATTAATTCAACAGGAAAATTACTATTCCAAATGTGTTTGCAGTAGAAAAGTGTAACGATTTTACAAATGAATTGAAGTACATGTTTGTGAACCTACTTGTGGTCAAAATTTCTTCATTTGTTAAGAAACGATTTTTTTATTCTGTTATGAATATATTTAAATCTAGATTCTTCCTGTCAAAGCCATTATGTTAAATATGTCAGGAACATTTTTTGAAGAAAAATATATATTAAATCGATCGTAAAGGCTAAAATGAAATAAAATGGATCTCGTGTGGATGATTAAAATCTTTGTGGTAGCATACAATTGAGTAGATCAAATATAAAAACAATGTGGTTGGATCCACAGAAACACCGCAAAAAAAATAATATTAAATGTTTCTCCAGCAAACACGCAGGTAAAAACTGATTTCGAAGTATGTAACAAGGTGGCATATGGTGAATAAACTGCGTATGGTAAGACAATTCTTGCAAATATTAATCGTCTCTATATGTATTGTAAAGAGCATAAGAGTTATTTATTCTTATCTGGAGGGACCCTGTAACATATGTGTAATATAATTGATGAGTTATAACATAATAAATTCTATCGAATTCAAGTTTGGCAAAAACAACGTTAGAGGAGATACAGTGCAGAAAATGTATCCCTGAAAATCCGGCTAAGTACATTATATGTATTTTAAATTATTGTTTAAATCAATTGTCTGTTACATGTTTTATATTAATAGTATAATGCAATTTATATTTTTTTGTATTTTAAACTCATTGTATGATGTTCTACATTAATTGTATACTTTTATATTAATTGTAAGGTTAGTTTATATCAATTTTATGCGTTTTTTATAATAATTGCATATGGTTTTTTAAATATTTTATATTAATTGTATATTTATATATATGTATATATTGCATTATTTGTATAATGAATTATATATTTTTAAGGTTTTTTTTTATATTCATTGTATAATGTATCTTATATCAATTGTTTATGTAATTTATATCAATTGCATATGTATTTCATATCAATTGTATTATGATTTATTTATTTTTTGGTGAAAGTATTTTGTGTGAATTATATAATTTATTTTATATTAATTGTAAAATGTGTTTGATACCAGTTATATATATTTCAACTCCTACTCAGGTTGGACTTAATGCAACTGCCTGTGTGTATGCTTTTGCGAAGGTAGATAACTATTGACATGTTCAAACAAAGAAGATATCACTTGATGAGATTTTACATTTTTATTACAGCTAATCGATCAATCAAGAAAATATTACAGCTTATGGTTGCTAGCGGTAGGGACAAGTCATGTACTGCCGCAGAAATTCTCCATCCAGCTACCCATTCTGCCTCTTGTGTCAGTATCAACCCCCGACATTCAATTACTGCAGCCTCACATTCCAGAAGATGTAGAACCTTGAAATATAACGGCTCTCCACTTCCAGCTAGTAAAAAGATGGCACAGCTGAGCCTATGCACCGCGTCATCAACAAAAATTAAATATGACATTTAAAATATGGTTTTGTGGGTTTTTTTCTACATAATTTGGCTGTATTGAACTATCAACGTACACCATCGTGTTGTATGATGGCCCTTCATAATCGGGAACTGTCGGCACTTTCTGTAAACGAGAAAATACTTTTAATAGTATTTTCTCGATTACGGAAACTGCCAACGGTTCCTGATTGGGTACTTCAATTACGGACTATATTGTTTTACATTACGTCAATACGTAGACTTACACAAGCACAAGAATGGAATATAAGGATTGAATAATGCTATAGTCGATTTCATGGGATGATGAATTGAGTTGGTCTTGAAACAAATTCAGCATGATCTGCGAATAATTTTCAAGACCAGCTCAATTCATTACCCCATGAAATCGACCAAACCAAGATTCAATCCTTAAATGTATTTCATAGTAATTGTTTAATGAATTTTACATTTATTGTACATGTATTTCATATAAAAAGTATAATGTGTTTTAAATCAATTGTATAATGTATTACATATTAATTGTATGTGTATTTCATATAAACTGTTTATGTATTTAACCTGAATTATATATGAACTTTATATTAATTATATACGTTTTTATGTTAATTATTCATTTTTATTTTTATGATATATGTCTATTGTATAAGTTCTTAAAGAGCTATAAAGCTGCCAGCTTCAACGCTATATAAGTGGCTATAGTTAGTATTATTATCAAAAGACTTGTTTAATTGTAAACGAAACAGGAAGTTGAAACATGTATTCATATTAATTAAACTTATGGCTTAGTTAGCAAAACCTCTATTATTTTTAAATTTTACATTCCAATTTAAAAACAAAATAAAAATTTGAAAAACAAAAACACTAAAGAAATTGTTGTTGAACATTTTGAATCCCAGAACTTTTTTTAACTTAATCATATATATAAATCTGATTATCATTTTATTTTATTTTTATTTTATTTATTTATTAACTTACATTTTTAAGAAATTGATTCATTAGCTCAAATTTTGTTTTGCAGCTGGATTTTTTTGTCTGACAAAGTAAAGATTCGTGTGCATTTCAGAAACTGTGTCAGGCAGAAAGCGATCTATTCTAAGACTAATTGACTTCAATCATATACATTAATGGAAGTTATTTCACACCGTACAGTCATGACATGTGAACATTAAATTGGTTGGAGATAACAATCTTCAAATTTCTTTGCCAGAGGATCAATAAAGTTCATACTTAGTCTAAGCGATATTATTCAACGTGAATGACGTAACTAAGAACGCAATGTGATAATTTCATCTGATATAAAGATTTTGAAGATAGTCATTTTAAACATTAATATAATTAAGTTAAGGAAAGGTCAACGAATACGGAGAATAAATCCCGCTTTTTTTCAGTTTTAAGGATCCCCGTACCATTGTCCAAAACTGCTACTAGCTATGCATTAGAAACAGGTTTTTTCCGGCATGGCTATAGCTTTGAAAATCCCTTTTTTGAACAGAAAACTTTATCTTGCGGGACTTTTATAAAGTTAAGAATATGAAATAAAATACAATGTTCTGAATGTAAAAATTGAGCGAGGTTAGATTGGGATTCGAACCCAGGACTAAGATTGTTATGCTTTCCCTCTAACTGACTGACAGAACAAATAATTTTAAATTTTACTGACCACTGTGACCATTAAAGTAGGCTGAGGTAATTTTCATTTGAAAACTTTGGTAAGCTCTAATCTAAGGAGCCACCAGCCAAACGTTATAATTCAATGTCTTCCCGTTGTTCAGAGAAAGTCATTTGATGTTTTCAACATATTTGACTGCTGTGACCCTGAAAGTAAGTCAATGACATTTTCATTGGCAGTTTTTGTCATGCTCAATCTTAAGAAGTTACCAGCCAAATATCAAGATTCTGTATCTTTCAGTTCCTCCAAAGAAGTCGCTTGAAGTGATTGACATATTTGACCCGTGTAACCTTGAAAAAAGGTCAAGGTAATTTTTACTCGCAAACTTTACTAGGATCCACCCCAAGAAGTTGCTAGCCAAATATGAACCTTTTAGTTCTTCAGAAGACGTCGTTTGAAATGATTGACACATTTGACCCCTGTGACCTTGAAAGTAGGTCAAGGTCATTTTCATCCACAAACTTTGTTGAGCTCCTACCAGTTGTTTAAAGGAAAAGTTGACGGACGACGCCGGACACCGGACGGACGGACGCCAGACGACGGACGCTGCACCATTAAATAAGCTCACTTGCCCTTCGGGCAGGTGAGCTAGATGCTAACAGTGTTTATACTTTTGCTAATCGTTTTTTTTATTACTTTTTTGTTCCAACATATCATACCACTTAGTGTGAAATGAATTCTTACTATTATTTTGATGCGAAAATGAGAGTTGTTTTTCGAACTTCCGAAACAAGAATATATATGTATTCAATTAGCTATGAATCCCCATAAATGTTTTGTTTGGATATATTTGGTTCCTGATAATGACACCAGCATAACAAAAGAACCTAAAACTTAAAACTATATTATTTAAATTGAGGGACATGGTTTTGGCGCACTGGAAAGCGCCTTTGCAATTCACCAAGGCGGCCGGGGTTCCATTCCCCGATTGGACGTGAAAACGT